GGATTAGGCAGGTGTCAGATGCACAGCCTCTGGCCATCAGGCCTCTGCCCCGCCAAGGAGGGCTGCTTCCGCCTATGTTATATCTCCCTTCCAGCCCTGGGCCCTGCCACCTGCTCCACTTCACTCCAAGGCTGGCTGTGCTGCTGTCACACAGAGGGACCCCTCTTCTGAATTCTGGTGTGGGGGGTCCCGATTGCTCTGATGCCCACTGTCTCCCCTCAGGCGGTGGCCTTGCCTGGATCCCGCTGACCATGGCCACCACCTGGCCCCAGGCTGGGTGTGCCATTGTCCTAAGCAGGATACAAACCTGTTGGGCTGGCCTGTCCGGTGTCACTGCCAGCCTGGCTGTGGCACACCTTTTGTTCTGTGTCTGTGGATTCCATCGCTGGATGTGTGCTGAAGACAAGGGTAAAAGGTGCATGTCAGGTCACGGTGTCACTCAGCAAGTCAGAGGTCCGAGGACCTCAGCAGGAGGGTGTCGCCTGTCAACAGGCAAGGGGGTCCCTGGTGACCAGGTCCACTGGGGCCAGGCTGTGCCCACCCCGCCCCCCTGCGCCCCATGGGTCCTGAGCTGGCAGGAGGCCTGGCCTTGGTTGGCTGTGGGGCAGGTGCTTCCTTCTGCTGCCTGGCGGTTTGCTTGGCAGGTTCAGAGGAGGGGAAGCTGGGAGGGCAGGGGCCTCTCTCCCAGCCTGGAACAGCAGGTTCAGGAAGGAGGCTGGAATTAACCCTGGCCATGCTGACCTGTGGTCGACTTCCGTGGGCAACGCTTGCCTTTTCTGCAGAGGAAACAGCCCCTGGGGCTCCAACTTCAGTGACGCCTTTAGTCTGGAGCCTTGGATGGCGGATGTCCAGGAGGCAAGGCTTGGGGTCCTGCTCAGATGGGGTGGCCAGTGTACCCCAGACCTTTCCAGGTTGATGGGGGATTCCCTTGTGTGCCAGCAACCCTTCTGACCTGAGCTTTGCCAGGGCATGAGCCAGACTCTCCCAGAAGCAGTGGGGAGGGAGGCTGAGTGCAAGCCCCCCCGCTTAGCCCTTCTTGGCCCCTTCCTGCCCCGGCCCTGGAGGAAGGTGACCTGCAGCCAGCTGGGGCCCAGCCCACGCTGAGCTGCCGCAGTCCTTATGCTGGGAGGGAGCTGGGGCCGAGGCTGCCTACCGCCCACCCCCAAAGGTTGTCAGGCCACTGCACCCACATCAGGGCCTGGAGTGCCGCCCACCCCCTTTCACTGTGAAGGACTTGGCCGGGCGTGGTGGCTCACACCTATAATCCCAGCACTTTGGGAGGTCGAGGCGGGCAGATCATGAGTTCAGGAGATCGAGACCATCCTGGCGAACACAGTGAAACCACTGTGAAGGACTGCCCGTAAGACCAGGCCAGCCCCATTGCTGCCTCTGCCTCAGAACTGGCCTGAGCTGGCCATTCTCTCAGGCCTCTGTCCACCCTACCTGTCCCATTCCCAGGGCTGCTTTTGTCAGTGGCTCCCTGAATCGTGGTGCCCAAGGGCAAATGACACACTGGCACCGTGAGGCCCCCCACCCCCACCTCACAGTCCCACTGTGAAGTCAGCGCCTTCCAATAGTTCCGTCAGAGGTGTGCAGTGGGGCCAGGGCTGGACATGGCCCCTGGTCCCCAGCCTGCGTCCTGCCTGCGTGGCGGCCCCTTGGGCCTCACATGTTTGTCTCTTCTGCTCATCCCTGCTGCAGGTGCCTCCTCCTGCCCCCTCACCCCGCTCCCAGCCAGGGCTCCCCTTTCCCAGGCAAGGTGGGAGCTCTGGTGTCCTTCTGGTGGCCACCAGGGCAGGGGCAGACCTGGAGGCCCTCCACAGGCAGGTGACCGGCCCCATGGCTATGTGGCCCTGTCTCTGCAGCTGGAACCTACTGTGAATGCAGCCTTGGCCTCAGCCGCGAAGCCCTCATCGCCCTCCTTGTGGTGCTGGCGGGCGTCAGTGCCAGCTGCTTCTGTGCCCTTGTCATCGTGGCAGTTGGTGTCTTGCGGGCCAAGGGGTGCGTGAACCCCGGGGCCGGGAGTGGGTGGGAGTGAGGCCAGGCTGCCTGCCCTGGGTCCTCGGTCTTGCAAGAGGGGCCTTTACCCCGGGGTGGGCTGTCACCTGGGGTAGGAATGGTGTTTCCTAGGCGTGTGTTGGGGGAGGTTCGGGGGCCCAACACTGTTCCAGGACTCATGTCAGTCTTCATCCCCTCAGTGAAACATGCCCGAGACTAGTGGACAACAGGTGAGCACCAGGGAGGCCCTCGAGGGGGGTGCGATGTCTCAAGGCAGGTCCTGGGGTGGGGCGTGCTGTCTTAGGGGAGGCCCTTGGCGCAGGAAGCTATCCCAAGGGAGTCCCTGGAGGAGGAGGGGTGCTGTCCCAGGGGAAGCCCTTTGTGGGACTGCGCTGTCCCAGACACTGGCCTGCCCTGGAGGATCAGGACTCCACCAGCTTGTGCTGACCCAGCCCCTGTCATGCAGGTTGATGGAGAATTTTGGGGTCCAGGAAAATCGCATGGACCTGCACCCGGTATACGTGGAGTCCCAGCTAATGGACGCTGACCTGGAGGTCTCCATGATGCCACCACTAGAGGATCAGAGCCTTGTGGCGATTCCCATGGAGGCTTCTCCAGAGGAGCCGCCGCCACCCCCGCCCCTACCACCTGAGTAGGGCTGAGGGCAGCTGGGGGAGGGGAATTAAAGTGTATTTAGTGATTGTGTACTGTCCTCCCTGCAGGCTCTCACACCCCTCAAGGCTGCATCATGGGGGGTGCACACGCATATGGGTCTCATCAAAGCAGGGCGCCCAGGCCCCACACCAGGTTCCCCTGTTCCTCTGCCCCAGGGCAGGAAACCAAACCCATAATGTTTCCACCTTCTCTACCACAGCTGGTCAGCCTGGCTCCTCCCTATACCCTGCTTTGGAAAGCCCCTAGAACAGGACCTGAAACTGGCAACTCCGAAGGGCACTGGGTTTAACAGGAGGACTTGGGCTGACACCGCTGCCCCACTGCACTGGTCTGTTTTTCTGACGGTCCAGGAGAGTCCTGGGGGGAGGGGTGGGGCAGGCACGCCTCTCCTGCCTGGGATGTGCTGTCTCCCTCCATCCCAAAGCCTGTCTCCAACCCAGGCCCCATCCACCATGGGAATGGGACCATCCCTGCGTGGGGGCCACTCCGCGTGTGCACGTTGGCATCACTTTGCTGAGCCTGGGTGGGGTCGAGACGGGTGAGGAGTAGGACCTCTGGGTTGCATTGCGTGCGGGAGCCTGTCGCAGCCGTGAGCTGGGTGGGTGCAGGTGGGCGGTGTCCTGCTGCTCAGGGCTCGGCGGGCGCCCGGTGGTGGACAAGGCGGGGCGAGGTGGTTTTGATAGCGCTGTGGCCGGCGCTAAGCCAAGAGTAGTTTGGAGCTCCGGGACAGGTGGCTGGCGGTGCCGGGCGTTGGCTGTTTGCCTTGCCTCCGCCCCAAGCGTGGATCCAGCCGTGGGACAGGAACTGCCTGCGCTCGGGCCAGAGTTAATATTTGTGCAGGCGCCGCAGGAACGGGCTCCGCGGACGACGCGCTCCGGGGACACGCAGGCAGCGGGCCTCTCACCG